ACGCACGTACAGTATAGGTACTGGACATCTTTTGAAAAAGGATGAAAAAGGCTCAGACCACAATCCAAGAGATTGAGTGTAGGACCTATCACGGTGTGGTCTGAGTTTGCCACAAAAACAAATTGTCCGACAAATGGTCCGAGCTCCTCCAGTCCTGAGAGTTGGCAGACAGGCACGAACGGAGAATCACGAACTCCTGGAGATGTTTGTGCAGCCTGAAGAAACAGGGTTCTGAGCTAGCGACCATCAAACGGTGTTGACAAACAACAAGAGGCCCATTGGATCGATCATTTGAACAGCGATTCTCTCGGGTTGTGGTTCGGACGCGGTGATAAGAACCTCGGTCCGTGTGTGGAGCGCTGCCACATCGACCACCAGCGGGAGTGCAACAGCGAGATCGTGAGTCAGCCACGTTTGGTTCTAATCTAGGGCACTAAGATGGTTCACAATGCAAAATTTGATCAAAAACGCTAAATGAAGACGATATAGACTGTAAGAAAACAACAAGGGCTTTTATACTTTCAAAAATTGCCAAGTGTCACAAGCAATTGAAAGCAATAACACCATTTTGGATCATGTTGGATCTTTGTTTGACATGACACGTGGTTCCGTTCTTTGAAGACGGCGAGCCACTGTTTCGAATTTGGGCGTTGAACCACGTTTGATTTGACTTGAGCCAACAGCGCGTCTTCCACGACAGTCCATGGAGCAGTAGGAATCAAGTGTGTAGTGGGTACTGAATCAGCATCCCGTGGTGACCACTTGTTGTTAGGGGACTGGGCCTTGACTGAGCTCCTCCGGTGTCTCCTTTGCTGCGCCCTCTGGTGCCTTCGTTCACTGATTTCCTGACTGCCGCATTGGCTGTACGATGTATATAGTACCAAGTCCCGACAACGGCGCTGTTTCCACGTCTGACCGGACCTGAGAAGGTGAACCTGGTTCGTCAGTGGACCAGTCTCGACGGGGTTGTTCAGCTTGTTGAAGTAGCAGTCCAAGAATACGAACAAATGGCAAACAGGATATTGTAGTGTATGATATGTTGACAGCATAGTAGAACACCATGCAGCATCGGATCCGTGAGTCCACGGGTCAAGAAAAACCGACTGCAACAATAAAGCCAACTAAGAATAACTAAGCTAGGAGCCATTATGCATGACAGAAACTCTCAGACGTAGGAATTCGTTAGGCCCAAGGCATTTTCCAAGACACAGTTGAAAACTCCACACAACTTCTGCACGCTGCCCTACATCAGTCAGTCCATGGGAAATAGGAAAGAGACAAATTGCAAGAAGGAAAAGGAACAGGCGTTGTTTAAGATTGCTTCGCAAAGGTCGACAATGAATGAAAATGAGGTTGATCGGAAACTCAACGAGGGTTTCCAAATGAAATGCGAAGTTCACCGCAGCATACTTGATCTGGAAGTTCAAACGCTGACCCGGTATTGCTTCTACTCCCAAACCAAGCTGAGGTGGCTCCTAAACACACATCTCTTATCCCGGACAGAATGCACTGCGTTGAAATATTGGATGGCCGAAACATTTGATGCACATATGCGCATTTTGTCTCAAATGTGCTTGAGCAACGATGGCAATTGCCATCGAAGGACACCAACTCAACTCACACCAACTCCTCTCGCACCAACTGAACTCACACCAGCTGATCTCACACCAACTCAACTCACACCAACTGCTCTCGCACCAAATCAACTCACACCAACTGATCTCTCACTCACTCAGTTTGCGTTTTGCCCCAGGTTTCCTATAAGGCGTCGGCAGTTGGCGGTTGGCCCCCCTTGCATTTCCCTGCCTCGTCGCCTCACTCGACCTCTCCTGATTGAAGGGGTGGGAGGTCGTGGTCGGTGGTGGCGGCCGGCTTGCGTTGTCAGGAGCATGTTCATGAGGAGGAATCAGGCTTAATAGGGATAAATAGGGGGCTTTCTGCCAATAGAGGATGATAAGCTTGCTAGCAAAAGAATAGACTAGGCCAAGTGCACTTCACAGAAACGGGTGCTTGTATATATATATATATATATAAGTATTATAAAGATTATAAAGTAGAAAACTCTTGTGAAGGCATTCTTCTTCTAATGGGGGTGTCTTGCACGTTTGCGTGCAGGCTTTGAATCAATTTGATGAAGAAAGGTTTTGGGGTGTCAAACCTGGGGAATCACCAAACTGGAGGAAAATACCAAGGGTTTGCCGAAGTGGTAATTGGTGCATTGATTTGGAGGCCCCTCAAGCCTCGGCCCAGCATGCGGTGTGGATAGCCTCAGTTGAGGCGGCAAGACATTTGGCGGACAGCGATGGCCTCCACCCTAGTAGTTTCTAGTTGCCAAGAAGCTTCAAAGACATACTAAAAAGGTTCTTGTTGCTAGTAGCGATGGCCTCGAACCTAATCGCGATGGCCTGTGATAATCCAACCTTCTTGTGCCAGCTGTTTTCAATTGCACATTGCATCTTGCATAGGGGCGTGCTTTCTCCACATCATGTGTTCATAGTGCTGTGCAGCGCGCCAGGGTGAAGTGGTGGCGCGAATTCCCGCTGTTGATGCATGCTTCACAACATCCCGGATTGTTTGGCTGTCTAGGCAGCTTCCAGCACAGTTGAACAGCCAATCGATTCAGAGGGCAGCGCATTGCATTGTGAATGTTTGTCAGGAACTCACCAACGCGAGTCTGCCATTCTGGCCATGAAGTGTTTCGCTCTACTTCTGCTTTGCCAGCGCGGGGCGAAGTTTCGCCGGCTGCTTCCTTTGATGCAGATGGCTTTGATCGTGTGCCCGGGGCTCTGGTGACTTTTCAAGACTCCATGATAAGTGAAATGTGTAGCGCTGGCAGCCACGCTGCCGTTTGAGTATATAACTATACATTTACACACACAAATATATATATATATACTGTATATAAACAACACTAAATATAACTTTTGTTACCTGGAAATGGCAACAGTTTAGACCACGTTTGGACGACACAATATGCGCACATATACATTACTGTATATATTCACGTAATGTAAATGTACTGTAATGCAGTGCAATTAATGTAATGCAAGGGAATGACACGGTCCCAGACTTGTTTGTTGCCTGACTTTTGTGTGTTCCTTGTTGCCTGTTTCGCACTAACTCCCTACCTAGGTTGGGGCACCCGGATTCTGAGCTTACGTGCCTGGCTTGAACAACTCGTGCCGCCCAATCGTTCTTTCTTAAGCTATCCACTTCCAGTCCTAGGGGGCAGCAGTTGAACGTTGGCAAACGATAGTCGATGACAGTGATACGATTTGCGACGTACGGTTCCCGTGGCACAAGGGCAAAGCCATCACAGTCCCGGGCTGGTTTTCTCCAAGTTACTTTCCACCCATCTCAGAACCATCCAGGCGGCTGGCCTATTCATCAAGTTTCATGAATTGGTGGGGTAGGTTTGCCTGCTGAAACGTGGTTGTGGTAACCAGGAGAATCAAAAACTCAAACATAGAATATGGTATTGTTTTCCACGGCTCACTTTGGTATCGGCTTTCCATTTTGTTGACGAATCGGCTACATCGGAAGCACCTTGTCCGACTTTGATGAAGAATATCACCTTGGCAGCAGCCAGGAAGATATCCAACCAAGGTTGCTTTGGGGGAGCAAGCTGGACACCCCCCTGTACTTCGAAGCGGCAGAAGACTCATTTGAAGAGCAGGTTGAGCATACATGTGCAGCATGGCAACGAATAGTTGCACGCAATGAATAGTTCCATGCTGCTTCTTGAGTTCATCCTTGCAAGGTTGATGGGCCTCCCTCACCAGTCGGAGTCACACTACCAAGCAATGGTCCAATGGAGCTGGTGGACTTCCGATGGGTTTCTTGTCGCTGATTGGCCCTTAGGAACAAGAGGACGCTACTAGGGGCTCCTAGCATCGCTACTAGGAGCAAGGACGCTACTAGGGGCTCCTGGCATCGCTACTAGGAGCAAGGACGCTACTAGGGGCTCCTGGCACCGCTTTCCTATTAGGAACAAGAACTATATAAATAGGATTGAGTTTAATTAAGTTTAGAATTCAAAGAAGAAGCTACTAGGACCTTCACTGCACATGTAGCACTCGATCCAAGAGGTGCTTCACCTGTTCACTGAACTAACCATCCCACACGATATCGGGCGTCTTAGCGGCGCATGTATCAGGACACATATGACCTCATATGACATCGTATGAGCACAAACATGAGCACATAGGGCATGCGAATGGGCAGAACCCTTTGAGAGCACATCACATGTATAGGACTATGTGACATATGAATACATATGAGCTACGGTCAAAACATGCGAAGACCACTTTAGTAAAGAGGGGTATATATATATATAGGTTTGTGCACAAAACCCCGCAAAACGATGAGGTCCACCTCAACACCGATAACCCCAGCGCTGTATATATGAACATACGTATGCAGCGAGCTCAAAAAGCTCATGAGGCGTGCACTTCGATGTCCACCAAGGGCCTGCCAGAAAATCTGCAGCTCCATGATCCTCCGTCCACAACGTACAGCGCCTGCCACGAACTTTGAGACTGGAAGACTCCAAGTGGAGATTTTGCTCAAGGCATCCCAGAAATGGGAAACCCACAGACTGATCAGAAGTTCAGCTAGAGCGTCAGCACCGTATCGAAAGTATTGTGCTGCCGCGAAATTGAGCAAGTCAAAGTTAACCGCGTCCTATCTCCGGCAGTTGCCACAGCAAGTTGAGTTTTGGACCGCCAAAACATGTGGAACCTAGCAAAATTACGCCAGCATAGACCCCAGATAGCATAAAGAACTTTGTGGGCACCCAGTGGCGCCAGCACGCAGGCTCCAAGACGCACATGGCCAAAGACACGCGGCCACACGTTCGGCAGCGGCACCCTGCAGCGGCACCAGCACCCAGGCTCGAAAACGTACACGTGCAGCTCTTCCGGCTCTTCCTTTACTTGAACACCGATAGCTCACGCAGTGGGCCCCCAGTCCAAAAATAGGCGGCGCAGAGAGGTCCGAAGGAATCCGGAATTCATCGATATTCCTTATATACCTGTAGATAGAACTATGTATGAATTTAATTCTAGATTGTGGACAAGAAAGAAAAAGATATGAAAAATGATAAAGGCAGGAAGACGTGACGAAGCCCCATTAATAATTTATTTACCTTCCCTCTTAATTTAAAATGGCTTTTACTGCCTATTATGATGACTCGCGAATCTCGCTGCAGTGAACCTTGCAGGCTTGCGGCTCGAGCCCCCCTGTTCAAGTGGCAGTGGGATCGAGCTGCGCCGCAATGGAGAGAGCCATGCAGGACCTTTGCCTGTGTGGCTCTCTGGTTGGGCTCACTGAGCCCGACATGGAGGTCCTAGCGGCGGACGGTCACGAAACTGGGGACCTTTAAGGGATGCCGCCAACAGGCATTGGAGTCCATCCTAGTGGCCGCCAGGAGAAAGAGGGAGAACTTCCAGGCAGAGCTGAGAGATCTCCGAGAGATGGTCAACCAATGCGACAAGCGCTCAGCTAACATCCGCAGAGCTGATGCGAGCCGGGGATCTTGGAGTGATTCACAAGTCCAAGACGTCAGGCCCTGGCAAGCGCATTCTTTTGGGTGAGGCTCACAAGAGACTTCGTGTTGCCATGGCCGACCAACGACAGGAGATCCTTTGCCCGGATGGAGCACATGCTGTGGACAGAACACAGTGAAAGGGCCACATTGAGATGGGCAGCGGCAGCAAGGGTCCCTCCCGACATTCGTCGGGTGGCGCCCCGCGGCAGACGAGGGCTATGAGAGGTCAGGGCCAACATCTTGAGGGCCCAGAAGATCATCGCAGCGTTCGTCACAAGGGCCGAGGAGAGCCTGCCTGTCAATGAGTCAGCGGTCCTTGAAGCAGTGGGGATCCGCATGGGTATGCTGGGCTATCCAGATGAAGCGATGGAGCTGCAAGCCCGCTTGCTGGAGAGATTCCATCCGGAGGAGCTGGCCGTTGAAGCTTGCTGGAGGCCGAAGTGGACGCCTTCAGGGCCCGTGGTCTTGATTGAGCCGGAGGAGGGTGAGGACATCACCGATCCGGCGGATGACACGCATGATGCTGGTTTCGAGTCGCAAGAGGAGATGGAGCCCGAACCCGAGAATGCAGTAGTCCGGGCTGAGTCGGTAGCAGGCAGATATGTGGTGTCCATAGTTGGTCGCTCGCGGACGCGAACCCTGCACGGAATGCCATAGGCAACCGGGTGTACACTATGCTCAATTCGAGTTGCTGGGAGATGAACCTCCCGAGGCAAGCCAATACCATCGAGCTTGCAAGAACTGCTTCGGTGACGGTGCTACCATAGCAGGGATTTCTCCGGAGGATGAAAAGCTCCGGGGAAGTGACGTCATCGGATTCGATGGAATCCGAAGTAGAAGCGTCATCGTGAGATGAATAGGCCTCACGGTGAATGGGACAAGACTGCACAGGGGAAGAGTATGCGGCAGAAACAATGAATGGGGGGGCCGTGTACGGAGTCTAAGTACTGCAAAGGCGGAAGGGATCTGAAACTGGCTGTTTTGGATTTTGTCTTGTGTTGACATTGATTGTTTCTTGTAGGGTGGCTTGTGTTTTGTGAGCTCATTGAGCGTTGACGACGATCGAACGTCTCCCTTTCAGGCATGACATATGTTCGATGAGGCTCCGGCTCAGCGCGGGCCGTTTCAACGGGGGGCCCACCTTTCTCACGGGGAGGAACTAGTCCTCGTGAGTGCACATGGCGGGAGCGGCAGCGGCTGCTGCGCCACTCGTGCGAGACGTGCCAACGCGATCTCACTACTAGATGCCGACCTACATGGCCTTCTACAAATCAAGGAGGTCAATGAGACCTTGCAGCCCAAGCTGTCCATCGCCAGAGTGAGGACGATCGACTGAGTACAGTGACAGACGACAGGGCCGGCGTGAGGAGGTTCTGTGTGGATTTTTTGGGGCTCGACGAGACGAGGGCTGTGATAGACATCTCGCCTCTATGGTGGATGCATTGGAATCCTCCTCAACTAGAATGACCGTCAGGCACAAAGCCGAGGCGGAGGCTTGCCTGGCAAGTCAGCCTACGGCATTGAACAAGGCAGCGCACGGCGTCAAATTGGAGGATCGGAGTATCCCTGCATCCTCGACTCTGGAACAGATCTTCGACCAAGTGGAGCAGGGCGAGCTATAAAGAATATAAGCCTCGTGCAGTTTGTGAGCAGAGAGGACGCCGAGGCCGATGTGCTAGGAGCCACCATCAAGAAAGGAACAGGAGCCCTGAAGGTGAAGAAGGGGTATGGAGAACGCCCAAAACTTACCAAAGACGCCCGAGGACTTCAGGCGCCGGATGGCGGTTGTGTAGCATTCCCACCTTCTAGTCCAGCTGAAATTCCCGCAGGAGGCGATACTACGAGATCTTCAGCCAATTCATTTCCTCAATTATTTGAAATTTGGATTTGATGCTTGGTGAACATGTCCTAGGCCTCAAGGCGAAGAATCAGGATGGTGAAACAGTTGCTTCGCCGGACTTGGTCCTCTCCTACGACTTCCACGTAAGGCGCTCCATGGTGAAATTGGCGAACGAGGGACGTTTGCTACATGAGGCCTTGAGGGAGTCTATGGTTGACACCACCATCAAGGAACGTTACTTCCTCACCCCCAACGTCTACTCACAGGTGGCAAGTGGTCATTCCAGGCAGTCTTCATGGAGGTCACTGAGTCCACCTGGTGATCGAGCATGGGGTGCTGAGCGAGGACGTGACGGAGATAGAGGACAGGGCAAGTTCCGAAAGGGCGGTGGCAAAAGTAAGGGCAAGAAAGGTGGCAAACGGTTACGTGATCGAACGCCCGATGGGCGCCAGATTTGCTGGCGCTGGAACAACCCTCGAGAACGGCGCCGCTTCAATTGCGGCAGGCTCCACGTTTGCCAGGTATGCTTTGGCCAACATCCAATGCATGCGTGCGATGGAAGTCGCAAGTCGAAAGACACGGCAGGTGGAGCCGCAGAGAACGGCGGCAAGTCATCATGACGGCGCAAGAAGGTGGATCAAGCCCCAGATCCACCGGCAGATGATGGCACAACGAGGGGCACACGTGAGGGCAGAACTATGAATCTTCAGTAGTAGAGCGCAACGCAAGTCCGGCGGCTGGGAAGGTCAAGGAGCCGCCTTTTTAACAGGAGATGGGGGCTGCCCGCAGAGCCTTGGACCAGCATCTGGGTCGTTGGGTCCTGGAGCCGTGCAGGGTATCGTCAGACAGAGATTCAGAGATAAACTTCAGGAGGTTGAGGGCTTTGGCGGAGGAGGTGGCCGGCAGCGGAGTGAGACTAGGGGGTGACATGGAGATGCCCGTACTCCGGCGGTCTATGGGGGGACGCCGCAGATGAGGTCATGGGGGACATCCTGGCGGACAACTACGAGTGAGGAGATATCACGCCAGGTGCTTCACGAAGTTGACAGTGGCTGCGCTGTGAGCAGTACCGAAGGAGCTGGGCACCAAGAAAGTGCGGCTGATCCATGACGGGGCCTACAGTGTTGATGTCAACAGGAGGATCCGGGTACGCGATCGGATGCGCTTCCCGCTGATCGATGATGCCACAGCAATCTTGAGGCAGGTGGACCATGCAGGAGTTGGAGGGCGGCCGAGGAGGAGTGCGCTTTTCGGTCTTGTACGACATCGCCAGGGCGCACAAGCTGATCTCTGTAGATGAGAAGGGTTGGGGACTTCAGGCTTTCCGGCTGCTGGGGGACAAGTCCGGCGACGTCTTCATGCACACACGGGGCACCTTCGATACTGATGTGGTTCTTCGCTTTTGACAGACAACCTGGCCAACACTCACGTCTTGAAGAGATATGGGTCGAGCAAAAATACATTGTCGATCGTGGCAGTGGAGCTTGCACTGCAGTTGGACCTGCCGGGCATTGACATGCAGCTCCAGTGGGTGCCCAGGGCACAGAACCAGCCTGCAGACGATCTCACTAATGACCACTTCGATGACTTCGAGGCGAAGAGCAGGGTGGAAGTGGATCTTGAGACCTTGCCCCTCCAAGTGATGATTCACCTACTCAAGAAGGCAGGGACGCCGAGCTCAGGTTGTTCAAGACTTCAAAAGAGGCCAAGAAAGGCGAGATGCGGTGGAAGGATCCATGGTGAGGACTGCAGGGGGTCGAAAGATCAAAACCATGGTTTGAAAAGGTTCCACTGTGTTGCGAAACGAGTAGAGTAGGGTAGAAGTAAAAGGAGGAGAGGTAGTGCATGCAGACCTCCCTTCTAGCTTTTTAAAGTAGGGGGAAAGAGAAGTGAGGTCACACATGTATGCCCCTCTTGGTCTGAGTAAGAGGGGTTCGAGACATGCGTGATGTCCCTGTACCACCCATTGAATGAACAATGGGTGGGTAGTCAAGGCAGGACCTCGTACTTGGCGCAACCCCTTTGGAAAAGAGGAGGCTGTCATGTGAGCGCAATGACGATGACTCGCGAATCTCGCGGGGGCCGTCGCGCCGTGAACCTTGCAGGTTCGCGGCTCGAGCCCCCCTGTTGAAACCAATCTTTACAGGAAAGAAAGAGTAGTGAGGTCACACATGTATACCCCTCTTAGTCTGAGTAAGAGGGGTTCGAGACATGCATGATGTCCCTGTACCACCCATTGAATGAACAATGGGTGGATAGTCATGGCAGGACCTTGCACTTGGCGCAACCCCTTTGGAAAAGAGGAGGCTGTCGTGTGAGCGCAATGACATATATATATATATACACATTCTTTTTCGCTGCGCCGAATTGTCCACTTCAATTCCGAGATCGAAAATACTTTTGCGTAGCTTGGCAGGGAAATCTGCTGCATGCCCTTGCACGAACCCTCGATCTAGAACCGGTCCTTGACTGTTACCAGAAGACCCCCCCGTGTGATAGCATATTCTCTGAAAAACTGCCGGCCGTTGGACAAGCTGAGCAAACTCAGACAGAGAAACCACAACAATACTCACTGTTTGAAATGTTGTGAGGAGTTTCATCCTGGCGTGACCTATTTCGACGAGCCCAGAATAGTTGGAAAAATCTTTTGAGCAAGGTTTTGTGAGACATTGAAAACTGAGCATGCATTCAACTGTCAACTGCTGGAGCAGGGTAGTGGCCCCCGTTGAAGATTTTGCAAGCTCTCTACCGTGCTGACGGCGAACTTGCATTCAAACACCAGGGGATGGAACACAACGAACTGGTGATGCTGTGCCCGCAGCCTCTCAGCACCATCTTCACTCACTGAAACCACCAGCACTACATGCAGTTGCACCATGTGCAAGACCTATGGAGTGGACAGACGCCTGTCCAGCGTAGGGGGACTAGGGCATCTCGGCAATTGTTCTTTAGGTGGTCTGGGGGACTCCTTGCTTTATGGTGTTGCTTTATGGTGTTGCTTGCAGGAGCGTATGTTGTGCTGTGGGTTTCGCATTTCCGCAGCCGTTGCGCTCTTGTGTTTTGCGTGCCCCACCCTTTGCCACCCTTCGGCACGCTGGGATAGAAACTTTGCGCCCATGCTTGGGCAGCTGCGGTTTTTAAGCCATAGGTTGTGCCTTATGTTTCATGTTTGCATATGCTATGCATTTTTGATGTTTGCCATTCCGTTTCATGCAAAAAAGCGTTGTGCTTTTGGTGCTTGGGTTTGGCTTTTACCTCTTACGCTATTGCGCTGTAGATGCATCAGTCCCGGTTTACGACGCCCACCGCAAGACTTTATGTGAACGCTCATCAAGCGAATCTTCTGGTAACATGTCTGTAGGGTACACCAGCTATTGAGACAGCATTGCTCCATTGGGCACGTCCGCGATTGCAGGTACGTTGTCCAAACCGGCAGCCCTGTCGAGACATACAAAAAAACACCTGAAACCAGGCTTTCCCTAGACAACAAGTAGGCCTCAACAGCACTGGGCTTCATACTTTCGGACCAATCAATCCCCGGTCGCATGAAACGCCCACTTGAAGCTCCACGCTCGAGTCTCGAGTGGATGATAGAGAAGACTGAGATTCTCTTCGGCCTGCTGGCAGATGAAAGCAGGTCCAAATGATACCATAGACAAGTCCCACCAACAATCTTGGGACGAAGCACGGGGGACTACATGAGAATTCCTTCCAGATCCCAACCGCGTAGGCAGGTTGATTGCTCGACTGTGCACGCAAGGGATTTGGATGAGTATGCCAGTTGTATGGCCGACTTGTCGAAGGTTTGGGTGCCAAGATCCGGTCTGAGAGTAGTTAGTGCCATCAAACTGCGTGGCCTGTCAGGACATGTGAGGCAGGACATATAAGTATGCCAACAAACCGCAAATCAGGAACCTTTACCTGCAATGTCAGGAAACTTGCCTGTGTCTGGAAACTACCGCTTAACAAAGAAGTAACCAATCAGACGCTGTGGCCTGGTAGGAGGGGGGCCGGGGACACGCTTAAGGGCTTAAGAGCACACAAAACGCACAATCTGTCATTTCATGTTGGGGCTTTATGGTTGATTGACCCAGCGGCTAGAGGCAACTAGTCGAGTGGTACTGGAAAGGCTTCAAGCAAGAAGAGAAAGAAAAGCAGACGAATTTGAGAACGTAATTATTGGCTTGGATATGGTGGACGCAAGCAGCAAAAGAAGCCAGTAGCCCCAAGCAATGGCCACAGGCAAGGTTTCCTGTACAGTGTCACTGGTGGGTATTCATGCTTACACCGGCACAGGGCGTGTTTCCACAGCAAAGGACGGGCACTCTATTCAGCCGAAAGGCCAAGGGCACACTTTTCTGGTTGTGTTTGCTGATGTCAGCGGTCAGAATGGTCAGAGAATTCAGAGCAAGCAAACCGTGTTGCAGATGGATGTTGCCTCGCCATAGCAGCTCCGTTCGTGCTTTGGGTGCTCAACTTTCAAGAGCACGATGCAGGTTCGTAACAGCTACTGTTGCCCGGTGTTCAATGTTGTTTTTATGGGTGTGTTGCCCTTAGTTTGCAATCAAGTAGCTAGGCTGGAAAGCACACTTGCTTTGCTGGCTGGACGTTCGGGCTGCATTTTCGGGGTGTGGACGTGTGCTCTCCGTGGCATGGCTGAAGGCCCCTTGCCTGCGTTAAACTGACGGCATATGATCGCAGCAAAACAACAAGCACGATAAACACTTGTTGCTTTGTCAAAATTTTGCAGGTTAGAGATTTGCAGTCTGCAGGCCATGGCTGTCGATGTTAATCACAGTCTTTCTCTGCCAGATGTGAAACCCTGCCTACCTGCCTCTTCAGGAGTGCTTTTGCTTTCAACACCCTTTGGGGTTTGTGCTTGGGCGACTGAACCCCTTTCACGCCCTCAGGTGCAGTGGTGCTCGGCTCTTGTGCATGCATCCAAAGCCCTGTTTGAGGTGCTGGCACTTTATGAACGTCCGCAGCTGATCGTGGCAGCTCTCCTGGACAGGCCGTGTTTTTGTGCGAAAATGAGACTGCACCCTCCCGCGTTTGATTTGCACATTTTGACCGTGCGAATCCTGAAGCGTGTGTAGGATCAGAGTAGAGGTTCATTAATCCTAACAGTAAAGTCCAATAGTCTATCACTACATGGTCCGGCGTGTGTAGATGGCCGTGGTGTTTTGTTGCAGAACGTATTTTCATTGAAATTCCATTTTTTTAGGGTTTGTGGATATATCGCAAGTATGAAGTCCAGTTATTTCTGGTTCGGAAAAACTATTTTGCGCCGGTTTGTCCGCGCCCCGTGCGCCAGAACTTTGTCCCCCCCCCCAACCCCCCCATGAACGCATGTGAAAGCATGCATGTGAACGCATGTGAAGTTAAAAACTGCCTGAAACGCACGGCCCGTTACAGGCGCCGATGCCAAAAACATGCACAACACCACAGAAAAACGCCCCCTGCCAATTCAATGCTCTCCCCAGTGGCCCCGCGGACACACAAAAAGTACTGTAAATACCACACGGATTTCGCAAAAAAGTGCTCAAAATGCCCTGGCCGTCTACGCCCGCCCAGCCCACCACATGCTCAGCAACTTGCACACGAGACTTATATACACAGCCGTCAACATACCATCCTTATCCGACTTAAACTGATTGCAACTCTTCCGATTCACAGGCTAGTTTCGGTGGAGCTTCAAGCTGGCTTCAGTCTTCATGCGGGCTCAGACCAGATGTCAGGAGACTTGTAGAGGGGCCCGAACTCGTTTCAACGACGTTGCTGAAAGGAGAGATGCCGTCGTCCACGTTACTTTGCTCTCGACTGCGAGCTCGGATCAGGACTATAGTTAGGCATGAGTTAGCCATTAGTATCCATGAGCCGCTTCGGCAGCTTTTCAGAACTTCTCAGCAGTCTCCCACCAGGACACGGCCGGTCAGTTTCTTCGAGGTCCGAGCTGCATGTCCAGTAACATGTCAACCAAACAAGTTGCGGAGGTCCTTTGCAGCCTTTGTCCGGGACAGCAAGGTCTTTGGATGAAAGAGGCACGTGTGGAGCATGACAATTCGATAATTTCATGATCTTGCGCATTTTGCGCGCAGTGTTTTGCCATCTTGAAGTCAGACTTGCGTCAATGCCTTCAGGTTTGACGTTGAAAGCTGCTTCTTGAACACTATCATCTCAATCCCAGGGCCCCACAAAACGCTAGAAGCTGAGTGTCCTAGGTGCTTCAGCACAAGCCAATCGCGGCAACCTCTTGCAAACTACGTCGCGCCCGTGCTCCCCCAAGAAGGAATCCTGAAGACATCCTGATAGCGACGTGGACTGAGATGTAGGTTCCATAAACATCCAAAAACTGGTCAAGTTGCAACCCTTTGTATGCTCTCCACAACACGTGCAAGTCTTTCATACAGCCAAATCCTTCGGCTGGCATGGAAAAGTTGTCAACAGCCAAAGCCTAGCATCCTGCCTCTAGCAGCCGGAAGAAGTGATTGTATGTGATTGAACATTTCGAATAATGTGCAGTAGATGTAACCAAGATCAGATATGTAAGCCTTTGCTAAAAGAAGTGCCGTAAGTCTCGGTGCATGCGTCGTGTCCGAGGAAATGCACAACAGCCCTGAAATGAACAGCCCTGAAATGAACAACAACACGGCAACGTTTTGAATCGTTTTCGATGCATCCCCCATAAAAGAAATGGAACTTGAGAAAAAGAGCCAACACCATACACAGCCAAAACCCTTTTGAAACTTCCTGGGCAGAGCTCATCTGGAGCTGGGGCAACTTACCGTACCAGTCTGGCATGTTGACTGGTGCACTTAGCGACGAGATAGTTGCTTACACTCTTCATGCAGCCTGGAGAGAGAGAAAGTCGGACAAGGAGACGGACCTAGAGTTTAAGACACGGCCACAAATCCGAGCCTTAGCACAGCCCACCGTAAGAGGTTGCGAACAAAGCAAGTCGGAAGCCCCAACAAAACAAACTTGGCGAGCTGGGAACCATTTGCGACCTGAAATTCTACAATGGTGGATGTATTGTTGTAGCCTGTGAAAATTGGGTGCGGTTTCCCGACATAATAGCTGGGCAGTCGTTTGCTGCAGAAACAGGGTCCGAGTGTACGCATGACGTGGTACGCAAGCAACGCATACAATATACTCCACATGTGTATAGTTATCCTAGCACAGAGAATAATCGAAATTTTAGAACAAGCGGTTAGAAGACATGTGCAGGGTGAGGGAAACCATACAGTTATATAGTTATATAGAATAAACAAAATATAGAATATATCGAAATATTCTAAGTGAAAGGGTCTGGTGCTTTCAAATAGCAGAGCTTGCAGTTAGAATATTTCAACCACGGTTGATTCGAATGACTTTGCCAATATACTTACTGTAATGGATAAATACATATAGATATTTGTTTCCAAACCTGTTGGTTTTCCATTCTGAAAGAACTTGTTTCCTTTACAGTGTCTTTTCTTCTCTTAGGCCTTTTGACTTTCCAAAATCCTTCGCTTTTCTATTTGCCACTACTGGTAGTATATACCAAGCCTTGTGTGAGCACGTCAAAGCTTGCAGTTAGAATATTCAACCAAGGGGTGCACCATATATGTGTGTGTGTATATATATACATCCATTCAAACCTTTGGGTTTTCCACCAATATAAATATTATGTGTCACACATTATTCTTGGTGTTGTTAGAAGTTCTTTGACTTGGCAACAATGTCTTCGTTTGTCTCTTTGAGAAGTCTTTTGTGATTATGTCAGGGCTTGCTGTTCTTTAATATCGCAACCAAGGGTGATTCCAATGACTTTACCAATGTACATATGTGTGAATATAGATACAGTAAATAAATACATAAGCATATATATATATATATACATATCCAAACCTCTTGGTGTTCCATTCGGAAGGAAGTTGTTTCTTTATTACAGTTTCTTTACTTCCAACAATTAATTTCTCTATTTGCCGCTAGTATATGCAGCCTTGTGTGATCATGTCAAAGCTTGCAGTTAGAATATTTCAACCAAGGGGTAAATCAATCCATGAAAGGATTGCATCGACCATCGATTTTCTCACGATTTCTTACCCACCAAACATTTGATACATATTTCTGAGTTTCAATGGCATGTTTATTCATATGCCATCCAAACCCTGAGGCTTCGCATTCAGGTTTGTGACACGTTGTTTGTTTTTCTAATTGATTTTTTTCCGGCATATATATATATACTGTAACAATGTTTTTTTCCCGAATGCGTAGCGAAGGGTTCTCGTTTAACTTGGGAGTCTGAGGGTAGAGCTGTGTTTGCCCGACGTTGTTTTCGAGTTCGCAACCGTCCGCAACCGTCTGCAACCGTTTGCAACCGTCCGTATGATGTCTCTATGGCCCTGCCATTGGGGGAAGCTTTTGCAAGTGACCTTTCATGGATGTGTCACGTGTCAGTTTGCGCCGCTATTACATTGGGATTTGCATGAAAGTGACATGTCGCGCAAGAAACGTGATGCATTTCGCTGCGCAGGCGCAGGGTTTCGTGAAAGGGACACGTTTGTGTCGGTATTCCATTGGGATTAGCGTTTGGAGAGTAGTGTTTTTGGGGTGTTGGATGTGGCCGTGCCATTGGGGTTTGCGTTTCAGGGTGTGGCATCGAAGCGCTGTTTTCGTGACACGTCTCAGCTGAAATGGTGATTTTGGTGGATGGGAGTGTGCTCAGAACGGGCCGAAATCATTCCAAACGTGTGGTGTGGTGCAAATTTTGTTGAAGCTCACATGAGATGACAAGTTGTCTGAATAAGACACAGTTCGTCACGGAACGGCCTCCGAGTTATGGCTCAGACTGCCCCTCTGAGTTTCAGGGTAGAGGGATCCAGCTGAGCCGCCATGGATCAGGCTGACGAGCTCAGCCTGATTTGCTCTCTGGCCGGGATGAAGGCCAGGGAGATCCAGCTGCTGGAGCAGAGTGGCTGGACGGTAACCAGGCTGGCCACTCTGCACGGAGGCAAGAAGGAGCTCTTCGACGCCGTCGTGTGGAAGCTCCAGCAGCTGGAAGCGGATGTCGACATCGATGCAGCGATGTTGCGAGAGATCGTGGAGCGTGCAAACGATCGAGCTCGAGTGAAGCACATGGTGGACGCAAAGCGGGGAGGCCAGGATTTGCTCGAGGCCCACATCATGCACCAGAGAGCTGTTAGGCAGAAGACTTTCAACAGCTACGTGGCCGAGGACACCAGGACAAGAGTAGACCCTGTGGGCACAGCAAAGAGAGGGAGGTGGCCCACCCGCCTTAGCATGAAGCTTCACATAGCTTCGTCAGACCTGGCGCTGAGGGAGCTTGCAGAGCGCCAAGAGCGTGAACGCTGGCTGAAGGAGATTCGTGGCGTTGTCAAGGCCGCAAATCTCCCTGTGGCTGCAAGGTCATCGGACGAAGCGCTGCTGATCCGTGTAGCAAAAGGCCGGAGGCCGAACACGCTTCGCAAGCATGTCAAGACGTGGTGCAAGGCGGCAAGATGGATGGATGCCGCTTTCAACTGCAGCTGGCCAGCATCGCCCGAGCAGTTCGCCGAGTTCCTGGAGGCGATGGTAGAAGAACCCTGCTCCAGAAGCTTCCCGGAATCGGTCTTCAAGACTTTGATGTTCTTGGAGCACGCCGGAGAGGTGCCGGAAGCAGATCAGATATGCAGGTCGGCTGCCGTGAAGAACGCCCTGGAAGAGGCCGCTCATCGATTGCAAGCGATCGAGCAGAAGACGACGAAGAGGCAGGCGCTCCTACTGCCTGTATCAATCGTCGTTGCTTGGGAAGCGCATGTCGTGGACGAGTCGGTCTCGAACTATGCCAGGATCTACTCCTGGTTTAGGCTGGTGAAGCTGTGGACGGGCACGCGCTTCGATGATACGAAGGGTGCACCCAGCAGCACAATGGAGCTGTTGGAGTGGGGCCTCAAGGGGATCATCGATCGATCCAAGACCTCGGGGCCGGGAAAGAAAGTTATCCACCTGCCTTTCTATGTCAGCAAGGAGGCCTGGATCCATGAGAAGAGCTGGCTGCTAGCAGGGTGGAAGCTTTGGAATGCAATGGGAATGGAGGCAGGTCTCCTTTCTCGTGATTTTATGCTGCCCTGGCCGAACAAGGCCTTGACGGGTTTTATCCGAAAGATGGTGGACTATCCTATCGCATCCACTATGTCTCAGGCCTTGTTCAACGAGATCAAGACGGGCAAGGGCAGCGAGAAGCAGTTACTGTTGGAGCCGGGCATGGGCGTGCTGTGGACTGAACACAGCGAGCGTGCTACCATCCGCACTTGGGCGCAAGCTGCAAGAGTGCCTGAGGACGTGAGGAGAATGATCGGAAGGTGGAAGCCCTCGGCGGATGAAGGCTATGAGAGGAATGTCCGAACAAACGTGCTGAGATGCCAAAAGGTCCTGGCGCACTACATCAAGGAAAATATGGCCAATTCGGATCCCTTCGACGAGACGACGGTAGTGAACCTCGTGGCACAGAGGATGGAAGCCATGAACTACAGCCGGGAGGAGGTGGACGAACAGTCGCTGAAGCTGCTCACGTTCATGCCGGGGGAAGGTGCAGCGAAGGTGTGCAGCAGGCCGAAATGGTCCACAACGGGCCCGATAGTTCTTGTCAATGAGAATGAGGACGGCACTGAGATGAAGCAGGAGCGCGGGCAGATGGCAGATGCAGAGGATGAGCCAGAGGAGGATGATGCAGCACCCGCAGAGGTGACCCCGCTCGAGAAGGTGGCGGGAATGTATGTAGTGTCAGTGGTGGGCAGGTCAAAGACCAGGACCCTCCACAAGATTGGTGACTGCCACCGACAGCCGGGTGTGCATTACTCAGCGTACGAGGTACTGGGAGAAGACACTCCCAGTACGGGACAATATCACCGAGCATGTAAACAGTGCTTCGGGAGAGGGGATGCAGCGGCGATGAACGCTCTCGAAGAAGAGACTTCGGGAGATGTTTCCTCGTCGGAGATGTCGGATTCAGAGAAGGAGGACAGCACGGGGTGAGGTGATCGGCGATGAGTGTACA